TGTCTGAAGTATAGCCTACAGCCCCTGGTACTTCTTGGTGATTGGGTGGCCCCTGATTGGGTGACCCCCATCCCCAATCAGGGCTGACCATGCTTTGCTTCCAATATGAGATTCTGCTTGGTGCCTTCAGGGTATTTACGCCCTGATGAGCATCTTATTCAGGATGAATTTCCTCTTAAGATGTCACATTTATGTAGAAAACTGTATGCATGTCATGTGTGCATTCTCACATGTGGTTTCATCATACTTCACTTTTGTCCTGTGGTAGCATTTACCTATCCAGAAGTGGCATCTGTTTAGAAAGTTCATCCATTTAGCTGTCTAAAAATTGTATGGACTAAATGTCTGATGGATTCTGGAGAAAAGTAACTAGTGGGGTGCCACAGAGTTCTGTCGTGGGCCCAGTGCTGTTCACCATCTTTATCAATGACTTCGATGAAGGAATAGAGGGCATGCTTATGAAATTTGCAGATGGTACCAAATTAGGAGGAGTAGCTAATACTCCAGAGTACAGGATCAAATTTCAAAGTGGCCTTACTAGATTAGAAAGCTGGACCAAAACTAAAAATAAATAAATGAATTTCAACACAGAGAAATGTAAGGTACTACACTTAGGGAGAAAAAAATGAAATGCATAGACATAGGACGGGGACACACCTTTCTTCCCTTTCTCTCACATTCCTCCCAAAGCATGGTCAAGTTACCACAGAGTCCCTGGGAGGGTATTTGTACTCCCCATGGCCATGTCAGCTGACTTCCTAAACCTGGGTTTCTCAACCAGGGTTCCCTGGAACCCTAGTGTACCATATGGGTTGTTAAGGGTCCATGAAAGATCATGGTTGCTTTTTTTAAAAAATAAAATAAAATAAAAAACTTCTTTTATGCAGGGGTTCCTTGAGACCTGACAATTCTTTCAAGGGTTCCTCCAAGACAAAAGGTTTGAGAAAGGCTGCCCTAACCTAAAGGAAAGAGCCACCTGTTTAATGGCCTTTCAGATCTCCTATTATCAAACCACATAGGCTGGAATCAAGTTAATGAGGAGAAAGAGAGAGGCCATCTGCACATGTTCAGGGGCACATTTACAGGGTGCACAAAGGAAGAGTCGAGATCTGGGGCAAGTTAAGGCGTAACTGGCAACCTGGGCTGAGGACCCCCCCCCCAAAAAAAAATACCTTTGCAGGTTTTAGATGGGTTGTGAAAGACTTCAGAAACAGCAGGTTTTCTACAACAAAAAGTCAGGTCTGTTGCCCACATAGTAAGTAAGAAGAGGACCAAGAGGAGATCTAAGCAGTTACATGAGAAGGTAAAAGCTATTGGGAAATATTTCACCCATAGCTTCTTATTTTCCTGAGAGGACTTGCCTATATAGAGCTAGTCAGCAGAGTAAAACTCTTGAGATGACAAGTGGTTGCTTTGAGGCCTGACCTACCTGCTTCCTTGATTTTGTGGACCTAAGACAGAACACAAGTTTGAGATTTTCAGGATAAGATTTGGTATGAGATCTGTGTTAGACTAAGCCTGTTGACTTAGGGCATCCCCATGAATTTCATAAGGTTTTCTTAGGCAAGGAATACAAGGTTTTCTTAGGCAAGGAATGAAAGTCAAAATTAAAATAGAGTGAAACTATTCACAATATTAAAAAAAATTGAAAACATACACATGAAAAGGATAAAAAAGCAATTAGAAATGGTTCAGTCAAATCTATACAGCACATTTTCAGTAAAAATATACAGCAATTGCATACATTTTATATGGTATGTTTTCAGTCAAACCAATCCAAAGGAGTAGCAAGCAAGGCAATAACTGTGACTGGGTGCTTAGCAATGGCTCCTTTTTATCCTGGAGAGAAGTGACCAGTGGGGTGCCACGTGCTTCTGTCCTGAGCCCAGTGCTATTCAACATCTTTATGAATGACTTAAATGAAAGAATAGGGGGCATGATTATCAAAGTTGCAGATGTCACCAAATTAGGAGGAATAACTAATACCCCAGAGGACAGGATCAAAATTCAAAATGACCTTAATAGATTAAAAGCTGGGCCAGAGCTAACAAAATGAATTTCAACACAGAGGAATGTAAGGTACTGCATTTAAGGCAAAAAATTGAAATGTATAGATACAGGATGGGGGACGTCTGGCTCAAGAAGACTATGTGAGAAAGGGATCTAGGAGTCCTAGTAGACCACAAGTTGAACATGAGTCAACAGTGTGATGCGACAGCTAAAAAGCCCAGTGTGATTCTAGGCTGCATCAATAGAAGTATAGTGTGTAGATCAAGGGAAGTGATAGTGCCACTTTGGTCAGACCTCACCTTGAATACTGTGTCCAGTTCTGGGCACCACAATTGAAAAAGGATGTTGAGAAGTTGGAGTGTGTCCAAAGGAGGGCAATCAAAATGGTGGAAGGTTTGGAAACCATGCCCTATGAAGAGAGACTTAGGGAGCTAGGTTTGCTTAGCCTGGAGAAGAGAAGGGTAAGAGGTGATATGTTTAAGTATTTGAAGGGTTGTCATATTTAGGATAAAACAAGATTGTTTTCTGCTGCTCCAGAGAATAGGACCTGGAACAATGGATGGAAGCTACAGGAAAAGAGATTCCACCTAAACATTAGGAGGAACTTCCTGACAGTAAGAACTGTTTAACAGTGAAACACACTGCCTCGGAGATGGAGTCTCCTTCTCTGAGTTTTTTAAACAGAGGCTGGATGGCCATCTGCCAGGAATGCTTTAATTGTTTATTCCTACACAAGGGGATTGGACTACATGGTCTTAAGGTCTCTTCCAACTCTGTGATTCTATGAAAACTTAAATTTCATTTCACATAGAGAGTTATTACAGTAAATGCCAGAATTGTGTGGAAAGGAGTCAAAAAAGAAAAAAGAGGGAGATTTTGTAATAGAAAATACAATTTCTTTTGTGTAAAGCTGAGTAAAACCTCACACAAGTTGATTATGCTTGTTATCAGTCACTGAACTGAGCAACAAAACAAAGATGAATTGTTCTTAAGCCATTTTTCTACAGGTGAAAATTCAGTAACAAGGAAAAAAAGAAAGTAAGGGCCTCTGCAGACGGGCCCTTTGTGGCATCCTTGAGGCAGGGATGGGGAGGGGCAGCCACAATCCCTCCCTGAGGACATCCTGATGCCCCGTGTACCGGAAGGGGCACAAAAGAGCCGCACTGCGGTTCTTGGGGCGTCCTTTTTGCTGGATCTGAAAGGCGTGGCATTTTGCTGCTCTTTTCTGAGCCGGCAAAAGGTAGGATTGGGGCCAATCCTCCGCATCCCGGGGCGGCCCAGGGCCACCATCTGCATCACCCCCTCCAAGTAAGGAACAAGCTTCCCTACCATATACTTCATCTGTTTTGGGTCCTTTGGTCTGCTTTTATGTAGAGGCAGAAAGAACATGCCAGCATGTTGTAAGCATAGTAAGGATATTAAAGAAATCTCACTTCAGGAGGATCTTTTTAAAACAAATTTTTAAAAAAGGATTTTTTACATATTAGTCACCCTTTTAAGTGGTAAATAATCTCCCCCACCCCCACAAGTTAATAGATATTAAACCCTTATTGAATCCTGGCTTTCTGTCTTCTCATGGCACTGACAGCAGGGAGAACAAGAATAGCTGCAGGAACAGGAACTTAGAGCACTGATGGCTTTGTCTAGTGCTGGGCTGCCTCCCATACTTTTGAATAATATGAGTGGCTTTAGTACAGCAGTGTACATCAGGAACCAGCATGACTCTGAAGACCAGGGTTCAAATATCAGTTCGGCCATGTAAACTCACTGGGCAACCTTGGGCAAGTCACATTCTCTAAGCCTCAGAGGATGGCAATGGCAAACCTCTGACCAAACCCAACCAAGAAAACCTCATGATAGGTTTGCCTTAAAGTCTCCTTAAGTTGCAAATGACTTGAAGGTACACAACAACAACATGAACAATTGGTACAGCAGTGCTTCTTAAACTCTGGGGGACTGGTACCTTCCCCTCTGGATGTTCCAGGGACCGATACAACATTTGTGTCAATTTGCAGTTGCTTCTTTCTTCCTACAAGTTCTCCATGGACTGGCAGCAGATAGTTCAGGGACCAGCATTGGCCCAGAGGATATGTGGAAGGCAGGGCTTCCACCTTCAAAGGACCAGTAGTAGATCTTGTTGAGAAGGGAAAAACAAGTGTGTTGATGTCAGGAAATGTGGGGGGGGGGGGGTTAAGAATCCTTGGGAAGCTGAAACTACACACAGCAGAAGGAAATGCTGGTATAAAGTAAAGGCATCCCCAAATGCTTAGGAAAGATTCCTTGAAGAAGTGGATTAAGAATTAATTAAGATTAAAGAAATTTCAGGAAATCCTACATGTGTGTGTGTGTGTTTCTTCATCTGGGCCATCCCTTATTAGAAGCAGAGGTATACATAGGAATTGAAAATGCTTGTTTTGTGGAACCTGGATGGGGCACTGCAGGACCTAGTTCATGTGCCATGCCAGCAGGAGTTCCTTTGAGATTCTATTCTGTTTGTATGCAAACTGTGAGCTGAATATATAGCACAGTAAAGTGGCAGAATGCTGAGTTGCAGTGGACTACATTACTTCAGAATGCAGGTAGAAGATATTTGAAATATTCCCTTTCTGTAGCAAAACTCACTGCAAATAGAAAGCTAGAATATCAAGATCAGGTCTTGGCTAGAACCTTGTTTCATTGGTTGTTGAGTTTGTTTGTTTTTTATTTGCATGTTAGGATTTTTTTTAAAAAATGAGGGAAGAATTAAAAATGTCATGCTTGCATTCTGAATGGTCTATTGGGGTACTTCAGCATTCTATCCCCACTTTTTTCTGCATATATAGAATAGGTCTTTTACCTTAAATGATTGACAACTAACTTGAGAAATCCCAGTTTGCCTCCAACTTGAGAAATCAAATGGTATTCATATTTTTATATAATGCAGACAAGTCATAAGTCAAGAGTTGAGAATGTTTAGGAAGTTTATATATGGTACTAATTTTAAGTTGAGAGCTGGTGTGGTGCAGTGGTTTGAGCTTTGGACTATGACTCTGGAAACCAGGGTTTGAATCCTTGCTCTACCATGGAAATCCAATTGGTGACCTTGGGCAAGTCACACTCTCTCAGCCTCAGAGGAAGGCACTGGCAACCCCCCTCTGAATAAATCTGCCCCTGCCCCCCCCCCAAAAAAACACACACCCTGGAATGGAATTCTCTCAGTAGAGAGTTCTAGCATCTAGGGGCAGCCACCAAGAAGGCCCTCTTTTTCATCCCCACCAACTTAGCTTGCGATAGTGGTGGTACTGAAAGAAGGGCCTTGCCTGAGGATCTCAGAGCCTAGGCCTATTCATACAGGGTGATATGGTCTGCCAAATAGCCTGGATGTGAGCCATATAGGGCTTTGTAGATCATAACCAGCACTTTGAACTTTGTCTGGAAACAAACTGGCACCCAGTGGAGCTGTTTCAACAGGGACTTTGTATGGTCTCTGTAACCTGCCCCAGTTAAAAATCTGGCTGCAGCTCTTTGGACCAGATGAAGTTTCCAACACTCTTGAAAGGCAGCCCCAAAGTAGAACACATTCTAATAAGGAGTTATAAAAACATCCAAACTCCAGAAAAGAGCGATAACTTTATTGAGCCAACCAAAATGCATAAAATATATGTCGCAAGCTTTAAAAGCTCCACTGGGTTCTTCATCAAGCAAGATGTTAAAAATAACATAGAAGGGTGTGTGTGACGATTTTAGTCACAGGCCTGCATTTTGTCAAGATGTTGGTGGTGTTATTGTGAGTATGAAGGGATATCTATGCAGACAGTTCACTCCTCCTTCTGACCATGTGGTACTTGGAAAACAAAAAGGTATTTCAATGGTCTACCACTGAAACATTATGTATTTTTTTTATTTGTGCACAACTGCCTCTGAACAAATCGTGCCAAGAAAATCCCATGATAGGTTCACCTTAGGGTTGTCATACGTCAAAAACAACTTGAAGGTACACAACACCCCCCCCACACACCCACACCCCTACACACCCACACCAAGATAAGCTAGGGAAAGATATGTTAGGAAAGGGCCTTAAGAAATTATACCTCCAACACTGCATGAGCAGACTTTTACAGGTTCAGTGGTAGACCATTGAAGTACCTTCCTCTCTCCCACTGCAATCCTTTGTGCCAGAGCATTGCCTGCAAATAAGAATTCTACTCATCAAATTAAATTTTCTTCTAGTCTCAAATTTCTAGCACTGCAGAGAGTGAGCTATTGAAAATTATTCTTACCTAGGACATTATCACATGGGGGAAATCTGCTGGTTAATCCACACAA